CAACGTGGCTAGTCATAACTAACTTTTTTTTTTTTTTTTAGTTTGAACAACCTGAGCAAAAATTTCTCTTCGTCTTTTATTATGATGGCTTAAAAGCTACGACGAATAGTACCGACCTGACATTGTTCTGCCGATAAAGAAATAAATAAAATATCCATATGAAAATCGAATTTCATTTGATACATAAATAAAACATATCTTTGTCATGATTAACTCTTTCAAAAATGTAATTGTAATATGGCAGGTAATTGAAATTTTTGATGGAAAATAACAATATTTAACAAGAATACGAATTATATAAAACATGAAAAAAATTTGAAGAAATTTTGTTGCTGACTTTTTTCTAGAATAATGCAAAAATAATTTGTTGCAGTACCTGTAAGTTTGTTAAAAAAAAAAGTAAATCATAAGCAAATTTAGTATCTTCTCTTTTCGACAGTTGAAATAACCTTATTTCCAAGTTTAGTAAATAATCAGCAGCAAACATCCCTTCAATCCTCTTTCATGTGTGCTACACGCCTTATTTCACCTTCCACCAATACTTTTTATAAAAGTCGCTGCTTCAGTTCTTTTCATATTTAGTAAGCTTTCTTTACTGCTTGTGGTGTTATTAAGCAGTATAGATCTTGGCTGACACGAATTTCCCAAAAAAACAATGTTTTCCAATTGTAATCAAATGCGCCTATCATTCCTTTAGAGATTACTAGCTAAAGACAGTGCACCAAAAATGGCTTACTAGAAGAAGCTAAATTTTGAAGTGTTTTTTTTTAAAACTCGGCCTCTTGTCTCTTACAATTATGTTTTTTAAAACAAAAAAAAAGAAGCATTTTGTGAAATATTTAAGTCTCTTTTTTGAACTGTACCAAAACTATAAACTTGGAAATAAAGAATGGTTCAAGCTTTGAGTGCTTATTCAGTTTAGTCGAATGCAAGAAGCAGAATAATTCAAATAGAAAAGCTTGTAATTATTGCTTTAATCTTGCGAAATGATACAAGTAAGAGAAGATCTAATGGCTTAAATTGTCAAAGGAATTGCTGAATGATTGAAATTAAATTAGCATTCTTATAAGCCAAAATAACGTAACTTTATGGCATGCGATTTGGTTCTGTGTTATGCTAATAATAAGACATTATTTTTTCACTCAAATCTTATAAATGTCAACAACCATTACTGCCAATGTGCAGTAATACAAAAAGTGGTTTTGAAAGAAATCACTTTATTTACCGGTATCTTATTTTCTTTTTTTAAAACAAAACAAAGGTACTTTACTTTAAATGTAAAAAAATAAAAATAGCTCGTAAAACCAGTAAAAAACCAGCTTCTTTAAGGACATTATTATCTCTTTCCCAGCCTCTTCTGTAGTCTCGACGGCAGACAGATCAGACAGGTTTAGTGTCGTTGCCTCTTAAAATGCCGGTACCATCAATTTTAACGACAAAGCAGTAGGCTTCTTTTTCGTGCTTCTCAAGTTATTTTTTTGCTGACATATTCTCCCTTCTCCCCTTCCAGAATTTTTTTTTTTTGAAGGAAACCAGAAGCCACTGTTTGTTGCTTTTCTCAGATTATTTCATGCATAATCGCGAACATTCTAAAAAAACACCTGCGTTTCAGATGAAAAGCAGTAATTACTTGTTACATCTCAGCGAGTTAATCGATCACTACTGATACTAAACAAATAAATTGTTAAAACACAACAATGTACATAAATAAATGCAACTTCAGGAGACTGAAAATTCACTTTTGACTAAACTTTGTTTTTGGTTATAAAGCTTTTTAAATTGTCTGTTCTTTTTCGTTTAAGCATCTCTCAGAAATCACTTTTTTTCTTAACTCGCTCAATAAACCCTCTCTGCATAAAAGCAGATGAAAAGCAGTAATTACTTGTTACTGAAAATTTTTTTATTAATGACAATTATCAAAGGTTTCAAGATTACAACGACCAAATAACAGAGATGATCATATAATCTTATGGTCATTTGAAAGCCAGCAGTAGGGTTTATTCTTAGATTTTGATCACACCCGCTGCAAAGATTGTCTGCTAATCGCTTGATCAACGCTGCATCTTTATCTAGAATCTCTGAGCGCAGTGCTATGGCTTTATTTGTTTTTTCTTTCAGAAGCAGTATTTAAAGAAATCAATTCTCTGTTCCAAGTACGAAGTGTTAGTTTAATAATAATTCAAAAATTTATGCAGAACAAAGGCTAGCTTTGATAATCTTTATCAAAATCAAATCAAAATCACCAAAAATTTTCAATGCTTTTCATATCAATAATAAGAAGACAACGTCTTTTTTTCCTGTACTCCTCTGGTATTTCTTGTTGCTGAATGACTTTGACAACCGAAATTAATGCACTCTTTTGAAAAAATAGAAGCAGATTCATTAATCGGCATATTTTTGTGAACGACATTTTCTATTGTAATAACATAAATTCAATTTGTTAACGCCTACTACTTTTCGATTTTCTCAGAACTTCTCATAACTGATTTCGTATCCTCATTGCTGCCTTCCCTTTCCCTGGTATGAGCTTTATCAAGTAGTGTTGGCACCGCTTGTGCTCTATCCAATAATTTCAAGCTTAGACCTTGCTAACCATGATACCTCAGTAATCAGGCCTTAACAACTGCAGAAAACTTCTACATTCTTAGACGCTGTGATTTTATACTTTTCTATTTATGCAATTCTCCGAACTAATAATGCGAGTACTAATTTTTTGAGCACATTTTTACTATAACAATTCTTCAAATCAATAAATTGCCAATTATTTTACCGTAGAACAAAATCTCTTTAGAACTATAAATCTAAAAAGAGAAAATTATAATTTTTTTTACTTTTGAAAGTATTTTACCGTAACAAGCTGTAGAGTTAGACAGCACCTGAAAATCTATAAGTTTATCAATGCTTCGCCTAATACTTAGAAGTCACCATATGTTATCGTAATAACAGTTCTGTGGCACTGTTAGAATGATAAAAATTCTCTGGTGGCCGATTAATAAAACGGTTTTAAAAACTGTGAACTCATTTACAAATTTATTTTTCTTGAAAATTTACGAAAGATGCGGAATAAGATAGGAAAGCCTGAGATGACATTCAGCCGTAGTTTGAAAAGTGTCAAGAAATGATTCTGAACAGAATGGCATTTTATCGTTGGTTTGATACGTCAAAATTCAAACAGAAAGTTTTTGCAATTGCTGCTCACCTATCAACTGTAACACATCTCAACGATTCCCTCTCTATTTAAGCTTATATATCGGTTTCACTGTATTATTTATTGAGAATACAATGTAGAAAAAGTAAAAAAAACATGTTTAAATTTGTTGTCACTGTGTCTGTCAGATGTTTGACTTTTGATAAATTAGTGTCATTTATTTTTTTTCTTTTCTTTTTTTTGCTTAAAACAAAATTTATAAAAAAATTTAAATTTTACAGAAAAAGATTTAGTTGACCATCAGCAAAGTGCAAAATTCTGTAACCATATCTTTTTAAAAAGAAATTTCTTTTTTTATTTTCTCTTTTTATTTCTAACTGAAATATATCTTTTTTTGGTATTCAGCTAAATAAATTAAAGGTAGAAATTAGAGTTCAAGTGGTTCATAAATGTGCTGTAAAAGTGTCAAAAACATTGGTGATATCAATACGAAATTTTACAGATATTTATCGCCTATTAAAAAAATACTTTTTTCACCTTGGTTCAATGTAATCGTTTTTTAAATTTTAAAAAAAAATTTTGAGGAAAAAAGTTGAAAAATTAGGCAACAGTAATAACAACGAGCACAACTCGCAAATATTCAGTCGTATTTGTACTGCTGTGCCGCATCAGTCAATTCAAATCTTAAAAGAATTTCCTAAATTTTTTTCTTTTAGCTTTATGCAACTATTTCATGTAAAATAATATTTTATTTAAAACTTAACATTCTTTTCTTTGAAACTAAAAATATTTCACTTGAAAACCTTTTTAAAAAGAGAAAATAGACGACGAAAACTCATTTGATTCGCACAAAAAAGGCCATTTTTTAAGTTAAGAAAAACAGAAAACAAACAAAATTCAGTAAATAACCTTAAATGTCGTTGAACTTTATTGCTAATAGTTTTTAACTTCTATCTTTCCGTTTTTTTTGTTTAGAACCACCTAAAAGCTTTGTTGCATGGCACAACAAATTACTAAACAACATTTTTTTTCTCATCTTTCGTGTTTATTAATCATCCTTCAGTTTTGTTAAATTCATCGTCTTACTCCAAAATGTTTCAGTAACAAAAAAGAGACGGAGGTTCAAATCAAAACAGAAAGGTACTCATAATTTGATGATTCTTCGTGTTAACTAATAATAAAAACTTAAAAATCAGTCAGGTACGTTTAAATGTTATAAGATTTAAAATTATCGGCTTGGAGACAATTGAACTTGTGTTTGCTCCTTTCTTCCTTTTTTGTTGGTTAATCTGATTTTTTTCAGTAGCAAACAATATGTTTGCTTCAGCAGCCAGTTTTTTATTACTGTTTCTTGCTGTAACTGTTTGCCAAGAGAATGCGGATAACAGAACGGCAGAATGTAGCGACTTTTCAGACTGCTATTCGTGTATGAATGGACGTTCTAAGAATTCTGATTCCTGCGAGTAAAATCTAGAAACATCTAAGCTTCTAATAACGCTTTCTCCTATTAAGTTTTCCTGCCTGAACTGTATATCTTCCAAAATTTGTGCCTTTTTTTGTGTTTATCTTAACAAGTCCATAACTACTGCTTATTTATTCACTAACTAACAGATATAAAAGAAGATGAAGAAGCTGATAATGTAGATCATAATTTTAGTGTTGAAAAACAGTAAAAGAACCAGAAAAAAAACACTGTAATTTTATTTGCAAAAAATAAAATACTAGGATAAATATTTAGCTTGTCAAATTCTAAATTTTTAAAAAGAAAAAATGAATAAAAATAAATGAAATTTTCAGATGGTGTGCCACCGATAATCGTTGTTACGCTGTACTGAACATTTGCGCCATTCATATGCGAACACAACATGCATTTAACTGTCCAAAAACTGATGGCCCTGAATATGATGAAACCTTTGCCAGAAGTATCGCGCTTCCGCTAATGGCTGCAGCTGCGGCACCAAGTGCAGAAGCGGTAGTCATTTGATAGCATTGATACGGAAAAAAATTTCAAAAACCTTGTCAGCTATTTCACTGACAGTTGAGTTTCAGAGACAAGATTGCCTAGACAGTAATCTGATCGGAGTTAAAGTGTTGAAGAACTATACAGTACCATGCAATTTTGACAGAACGGTTTGAATTGTACTCTACTTTGTCCTTCCTTACTATCTCAGTGCCTAATTTGGTTTATCTTCAACCTTTCTTGTGCGCCATACTTCAAATTATAGTCCCTCTTCCATCCAGCTAATAATATGTTTAAGTTACTTTAAAAAAAGTTTACTGGATTTGGTAGCAAAATAACTAACTATTCTCAAGCTGCAATTATATGAATATTTAACTGCTATATATTAAGCTCAAATGTTCGGCTTATTTGGCCCGAGTGACCTCATCGAACACTGTTGCCATCGCCTTCAGAGGGCCACTGGATGATCATGTATGCTTTAAGAACACCATCGCAAAGCCGATATTTAAAAGATAAATTCTTTGTTGCTTTTTAGCTCGATCCTTATGGAGCTACTCTTGGTTTTGCAAATAAAATGACACTTATTGACAAGCTTGGAGTTTCTGTTGATGACCATTACCAAGTCGCTTTTACAGCTTTATGGCAACAAATGGAGACTGATATTAAAAAAGCAAAAGAAATTTCTTCCAGTCCGGAGATTTGGGTAATTGTGTGATTTATATGGTAGCTTAAAAAACTAAAAATTCTTTGAAAGCTGACTCATATTTTTGTAGAAATCTGCAATATTTTTCAGGTTGTCGGACATTCGTATGGTGGTGGAATTGCAAGTATATTTGCAGCTGCAATTGCTTCTTCTGAAATCGGTCCTTCAATATCAATCAAACTTGTGACATTTGGACAACCCCGAATGTCGGACATAACTTTTGCTCAGCAACACGACACACTGGTAGGATTTATTTGCTCGTTTTAGTGCAACCAGTGGCTGAGTCAGTGAATTATCAGAAGTAAGGGACGGTTACAAAATGCCATTTTTTGCTTTAAAGTAATGGTCAAATTCTTGTCTTTTCATAACTAAACAAGTGGTTTAAAACAATTTGTCATCAAAGAATAGAAAATCTTCTTGAAAAAATAAATTTTTTATGACTTTTAAAGATTTGGACTTGAACAAATATTCACTAAAATAATTTTTTTGTATGGCTAAAACTAGTTGCTCAGTAAATCACTAAAGTAAAACAAGCAGCCGCAATTACGTAATTTGATCATTTGGCTTGATTTAGATAATGGCAGTTGCAAAACTGAAGTAAACGCTGCTTTATGTTCTTTTTCTCGTACTTTTTTCTTCCGTAATATAAGCCGAGTTTTATTAATTAGTTTAAGCTTTGAATAGTTTTCTCACGGTTTTTTCGTCTATTATCAGGGCAAAGCTAAGTGGGCGGAAGGAGGCAAAGCTAGTTTTATGGTCACTTTTGATAACTAAAAATGAGTTATCTGCAACAGTAATGTAATTTTAGATTTTAGTTTTCTGTACAATACCTGTTTAATCTGATATATTTTGCCAACTGAGAGATATTGCAAAAATTTAAGTGTAGTGGTCTTAAAACGAAAACCGTCTTTGTTGGTTGTAGGTCAGTGACTAGCTGGCCAATAATATGCTATCTGAATCGGTGACGATTGACCAAAAGATTCAATAAGTTGCCCACCTACTTCTTTTAGAATATTCAAAAAAAAAAAAAAAATAACTGTTTAAGTTCCTTGCATTTATAAGTTCACGATGTCATAGCGCACGTAAACTTTTGTGAAGAATTTTTTCTAGGGTATCACCAAGTACTTTATAACACATTATCAACCAATAAGTCTTACAAAACAATTTTAGAACTTGTTTTAGGAACAACTTTTTCTTTGCTGTCTATAGATGTGCAGAATAATTTGTTTGTTTAGGTTGAAAATCTGTTGTAATCCTCTTAGTGCCTTGAGTATGCAACTACCCGTTTACAACTGTTCAGTCTTCAAATTGATCTTTTGTTTCGAAGAGATAATTGCTGAGTCTAAATAGAAAAAGTAGAGTATCAGTTGATAATGTTAAATAGATTTGTACTTCTAATTAAAAACTATAGCCTTTCTCAAACTCAGTTCAAATTTTACAAATTCCTTACTGGCAGTAACACATGGCAGCTTAATGAGTTTCTAAAGCAAGGATATATTTTAAGGTACCGTACTCATTTCGAATAATAAATAAGAATGATGTCATCCCAACCTTACTGCCGAAAAAAGACATCTTTGCCAAAAAAGGACCTTTTCATCATCGATATGAGGTTTATTGGATTTTAGTTTCAGCTCTCGTTATTAACTTGCTTTAAAACAATGACATTTCTCTTATCAAATATTAGGTTTGGTATCCTGATGGGATGGCAGAAAACTCAACATATAAGGTTGGAAAAATGGCCGAAGATGGCGCAGCTAGTAATTCGGTACTCAATCTTTCACCAACTGATCATCTGTATATGTTTGAGAAGGAGATTTCTACATGGTGGAAAAAAAAGTGCAAAAAATAAAATGTTTCTTTGTTGTAAGGCGATGTAAAATTTATTTGCTCAATAACGTAAGTGTTTCTAATTGTAAAAACACTGTTAATGGCGAAAATGTTTTTTACATAATAGTTTTACTGATGGGACTGCAAATACGATTATTCAAAAAAATCTAAGCTTTTTTTAAAAATTTTTGTTTTCTTTTGTAAGAGCTGTTTGGGTATTTGGAACTCTAACTAACTGCTGACCATATCAAAATTTCACATAGGTGTTTCCCAGTTTTTGTGTTAGGCTTTGCAACATTACAACATCCTGCTTTTTTTGTTTATGAAAAGCCAGTCTGACGTCTGCTAGGTAAACATTCTTGGCGATCTAGCTAAACATCAGTAATATTAACACCTCGCTTGTTCTGGCTTTTGTCAATACTTCATTTGTCAGAAATTGCACGAAAAAATATTTTAATTTGGCATTCTACTGGTAAATTTTTTTACAAGAGACGTTTCTGCTGGTAAATTCGCTAATTTAATGCTTTGAAGTAGTTCAAACAGTGCAAGCAACATTGGTATGAATAGGTTGTTTATTTATGTCTTCTGAAATTTTTCTGCCACGGCTTCGTCTTACAAATCTTTCTGTACTTTTTTCTAAATATAAATTTTTATGTAGACTTTGTATAAACTTCTCAGAATATCTGTTCTAATTGGTGATTGCGTTGAGGTGTATTACAAAAGTTCATGCTTGTATAGGCATTTCAAATATTCTCATTATAAATAAAACTCACAAGTTCTGCCTTGTATTGCTTATATATCTTTAGAAAATCTAGGATGTTTTCTAACTTTACTGTTGACTTTTTACATATCGGGATGTAAAACATTGAGCAAGTGAGTTACCGCTGTCAAAAGACAAATAATTAACCAAACTGTCAACCGCTATATTAAAAATCTTAGACAATTTTTATAGATTCATACTGTTCTAGTTGCTAGAACTCAGTTCATTCAAAATGATACTTAAACGTGTTTATATTGCTTATCGACTGACGTTTCAATATATCCCAAAAAAACTTTTTCAAATTATTGCTTTAAGACAAAAATCAATTCAACTTTTTATTCACAAAAGTAGGGAAAAGAAGAGTAAGTAAAATAAAAATATAAATATAAAACAAAAATGTACAGATATGAATCGTGAAAGGAATTTTAGCAGACGGATAAAGTACATCTGCTGTTTCATTAATGGTTAAAACATAATTTTGGCTTCAGATGAGTACTCAGCGCTAACTGTACTAAAATTCCTATCTTTAGTTCAGACGAGCTCGTTGAGCGGCAGCAACAATCATGCGTTTGTATCGGCCCAATGAATATTTCCTGTAGCAGGGACAACAGCAACAACAGGGTTCACAGCATGACTGTCCACAACCACCGTATCCTGAAGCAAAAGACTGACTGTATCCAATATTGTTGAAATTGGTGTTATAGTTTGCGTTCGCGTTCGGGCAGCAACAACAACAACAACACGAGGACTGTTGAGGTTGAGGTTGAGGTTGGGGTTGAAGCACAGGAGTAGATGTAACAGTTGGAGCTTGATTTGAGCGAGAGCAACAGCAAATCGTCAGTGGAATACAGCATGTCGTATATACAGGAGCAGGAGTTGTTGTTGTTGTTGTTACAGGCTGATATTGCTGGGAAGAACCAGTTGAGGTACAGCAACACATTGGATGGATACAGATAACGGTTCTAGATGTTGATTGTTGTACACCGCTGACATACTGTTGTTGCTGTTGTTGAACTACCGGTTGCTGCTGAATCATTGGTTGTTGCTGAATTATTGGTTGTTGCTGAATTATCGGTTGCTGCTGAATCGGTTGCTGCTGATATACTGGCTGCTGCTGATATACTGGCTGCTGCTGATACATTTGTTGCTGTTGTTGAGGGCAACAACAGCAACAACAACATCTAAATTAAAAAAAAGTGAATAAGCTGTAAAGAAACTAAATCTTTTTTGTGGAATAAAATTAATTTTCAATTGTGTTACTGTTTTAATTTATATTTTAAAAATAATGTTTTACAAAGCAATAACTATCGCCCACAAAATATTTGAAAATAAGCAAAAACTGTTTTGCATTTTCAAAATTCACTGCATCTCTTCCTCGTTTTGAAAAGTTCCCTTATTGATCACAGAAAACTGGACAGCATCTTTTTGACATCAAAAAATAAATAAACTGTAAAAGCTAAGACTAAAAACTAAATTACTTTCAGCAATTTAACTTACGGGCAGCAGTTTCGTTTCGGCCGCGTATAAAATTGCTCTCCATCAGTATCGTTAAAACCTTTAGGTATGTAGACCGCTTTGGAAGGGGTGGAATCACTGTCAATAAGTGTCCTTGGTTGTACAGAGAACGCCTAGGTTATGATACAGGTTTATTAGTTATACTATGCCTAATATAAAATTGTACTCTCAGCTACTTTTTAATAATTTCTAAAAACCTCAGAAATCTCAACAAATATATAAATAGAAATAATTCTAACCAATGCGAAAGACAAATAAAAAAATATTTTTTTGCTTTTTCCCTCATTAATACTCCTACTAAATGTGAAAATTAGAAAATAAGATTAATCTGTGAGAGCAATGCAATTATCACCCTATCAATCCTGGTGATCAAAGGATGTTTCCTTGAAATTCTGTTCCATTTACTCAGCTGCTATTTTCCTCTCCTTAATTTTACAAGTAATGCAGTGCAAAATTCATCAGTTGAATATCCCATATGCTGCACATATTAATCCCGCCTACCGTAATAAGCGAAAAAATACAAATTTCTAGTTAACAAATTGAATGAGATTTATTTATGAATGTTCATCTCTAACTTCAGAAGCTACTTTGACTAATAATACCGGTTTTAAGCAAGAAAGACAAACTCCTGTGTCTTTCTATGTCAAAAAAAAACTCAGTTGTACAATTTTTCAAGGAGCTTTGATAAGTTTATTATTTTAATTAAAGAATTGCAAGCATTATTCTGTGACACCACAAATAGCATTCAAAGACAAAAATTAAGTTAAAGGTAAATTAAAAATACATCTTTTGATAATGGTTGTGTAATAATGGCCAGCACTTAGCTTCTTGTAACGAAAAAAATGTCATAAACTCCTCAAAAAAAGTTCCATTGTAATATTCTAGTAAGATAAAATTGATGCAGAATGGCACTCCTCACTAAAGAGCAACAACTTGACCAAAAGAAAAATATAAAAGTAGCTGAAAATAAATCTACACAAATTCCAACCTAAACAGCTACAATGTTAATTCAAATTGAGCATCTTTCAAAGTCATCATTTCGTGGTGTAAACATATAGGAACAACAGCTGCTACAAGAAATCCATCAAACTTACAGAACTTTCTGTAGTAAAAGTGAAGATGAGGTAGAGTGATATCAACTTGATGACAAGCTGCATTGTCGGATGCGATATACAGGACTGAATGTGGCAAAAGTGGAAGGAGGTACTGTTTAAATAGCTGAAGCCTCCGCTGAGGCAAACAACTTTTTTTATCGCTAATACATGATCAAACAAGCAAAAAAAAAA